ACTTCATCAAAAGTTGCTATAAAAAAATATTTTCAGTTTTTCTGTATATCTGATAATAACGAAGAAAAAAAAATAGATATTCAAAAAATTCACTTTTTTCGATATAACTCAAAAACTAAAAATAATTTTCAAAATTTTCGAAGGCTCTTGATATGAGCCTCCGAATGCGCAACTTTTTCCCCATTTAAGCGACTTCGTATCTCCTACCGTTTCCGAGATCCCCATGCTGTTCAACCTTATCTTGGACAGACTGTATACCTATATAATATATTAGGCCGAGTTAGGTCAGATTGTTTGGAAAAAGTAGTCTTCTTTCTCATGTTATTATTTACTGAGCCCTTCACAAAACAATTTACCTACCTCCGTTAGGCCGAAAATGCTTATAAGATAAGAACAAACCCTTAAACCTCCGGCCGAATTCACATGTCCTTTTTAAGTACCTGACCTTATTGCGGCCGAAATTTCATCCGTCCCCTGGTTTCACAACAGGTGGTCTCAACGGCAGTCTGAGGGCAATGCTGCCTGAATTGATAAGGGGTCGGTGGTATAAATTATCATGTCTGTCACTATGTTGGCGGTGGATAGGATTCGAATTTAAGTAGACGGATATAGGGAGCTGGACAGTGGACTGCGTCAAATTGAAGTTGTTAGATTCATTCGGGTTCCGATTTCAGAACTGTTCAAGAATCGTTCTCGAACTGCGTAGAACTAGTGCGCAGTCGTTTCGAATCCTAGGTTCAAAAATTATGAAAACCCGAACGCGGCAGACGAGAACATCTGAGAACATATAACCCTCTATTCAGAATTCGCGAAAAAACAATGGGTGTAGGTGATGTAGAAAGTTTATTTTTCGATTTCACTTGTATGTATTTGGTGTTGAAATAAAGGAATTATATATGTAAGGAACTTTGTAAAACATCAATGGATGACTATTTCAAAGGCGCTGGGGGAGGTTAGTGGGTAGGTATAATAGGAGAATGAAAATAATAGAGAATTTGAAAACAGAATCTTATTTAAGATTCAAGTTTCGAATTCCAAACTCAGATGCCCAGTCCACTGAACATGGAAGCTCAAAATAAAAAATAGCATGAGACAATTTTTATTATTTTTGTTGAAAGAATAAATACATTGGTTAATGAACTGAATTTCTTTCCACGGACGTGATGCAGGGACTGATTCGAACGTCCTGTGAAAAAAGTACCGGAGAATTGCATTAGGGACTTGTTTAATATTCAAGCGAGAGGTAAATGGTAAATACCAGTTTCCATTTGAAGTAGACGGAAACTAGAGTTTCTATTGCCTTTTATATGAATTGGAAATTTCAGAGTATTCAGTGAACTTCCAAATTATCTGTTTGAAACTTTGGAAAGCATGGTATTCAATATGAATGGACCTCCTTTATCTTGACAATATAGCAAGTGAGCAATAATTCGGTCAATTAATTAGGAATTTATATGTATATTGAACATTTTCAGTACCTATCTGATGGGGAATAAGGAATAGGAGAGCCTACTGTTTTCACTATACCTTTATCTTGATTTCTGCACAATATACTACCATTATAATTGACAAAAACATATATCATATTGTAGATTTCTTCGATATATTAGTTCGAAATGTTATGATCAGGAAAGACAACAAATATAATGTTTCGTGAGGGTATAGAAAATTGAAATATTGAACATCCAAGTTCACAAGTTCGGAGTGTTTATTGCGTATTCGTAACCTTCAAAGTCCTGTTTAGTGATGAGAAACTGTTTGAAGTTCATCAAAGACAATTTATGGAGGACACAGACAATTATGGATTTTGATAAAGGGTGTCTCATGAAAAAAAAAACTGTTTGATGTTTGTGGTTATTGTGGAAGTTTCTAGAAGCTAGTGGAATAACCAGTCATGTCTCATGTCCCGAAGATCATTCGAAGTAAGTTTGTTTTAATATGTCAGATTTGGAGAAGGTACGAAACTACCTATGATTATTTTTCAACATTGATTTATCTCTAAAATTTTCCGAATCACAGTTTTTTTGCTGATACCTTACGCTTATCCCGCAAATTGAATTCATTGAAGGATCAGAGTACTCAAAATTGATTGGGTTGTACTCTGGTAGGATCACATTGTCTTTAAAAAAACAAATGCCGTTGCCATAGCAACTAATTTGTTGTATGCCTCCATATTTGACTATTTGTCGTTGTGTCATTAATTAAGTGTCTTGTTTTATTGACTAAAATTACATAAAATGCCACAAATAAAAATAAAAATCCTGAACAAGTAGCAGTGCAGTGGGAGTTCATGAAGCAACTGCTCGTAGAGCAATCCGCAAGTACGAACAAACAGAAAGCACCGCTCGGAGGGTCGGTTCTGGTTGTCCCCGAAAAACTTCTCCAAGAGATGATCGCTTCTTGAGATTGCGGATTTTACGGAATCGATCAAATACTGCGGTAAATGTGCAGCAAGATCTTCGCCAAATTCTTGATGTTGCAGTAAGTAAGCAGACGGTATGTAGACGTCTAAAAGGAGTTAATTTGAAAGCTACGAGACCTGCAAAAGGTCCCAAATTATTCCTCGAACATCGTGCTGCTAGAAGAAATTTTGTTGAAAATTATGGACAGTGGAATATTCCTGAATGGTCGGATGTCTGGTTTACGGATGAGTCAAAGTTTTGCCTTAACATGGTGGATGGCAGAAAAAGAGTATGGAGAAGAACTGGTGAACGGTTTAATCAAAATTTAATAACAAAATGCGAAAGTTTTAATGGTGGCTGTTATGGCGTGGGGAGGGATTTCAATGAATGGAAAGAGACCCCTTCATGTTTTTCCGGTGAGGCAGTCGATGAATGCCCAAATTTACATTGACATTTTAGAGCAGTATGTCTTACCTTATGCAGAGCTACTGGGCAATAATTTTATATTGATGCAGGATAATGCCCGACCACACACCGCAGCAATAGTGCGAAACTTCTTAGAAGCTACTGGTATTACCACATTACAATGGCCTGCGAGAAGCCCCGATATGAATCCTATAGAACATTTGTGGGATGAATTAGGTAGAAGGGTACGTTCTCGCGAGAGGTCTCTGGAAAGTCTCGCATCAGAAATGGCAGATGCATTAGTGGAAGAATGGGATCGTATACCAATGGAAACGATAAGCAACTTAATTTCCAGTATTCCTCGTAGATTAGAAGTTCTTAGAGTTGCTAGAGGAGGCAATACACGGTATTAAGCAGTCATCCCAATTTATAATTTTGTGTTTCATAAAAATGTTTTCAAAATCATTGGTATCAGTTTATTTCATTAGAAAATTGTTTCTCGATAAATTCAGAAAGTTGGTAATCTGCAAGGATTCAGCAAAAAACGCTGTAATTCGGAAAATTTTAGAGATAAATCAATGGATGAAGAAACAAAATGCTCGCAGAAGGAGCCTCTTTCGTATAGGGTACAAGCACTTTCTATGCCATTACTCAATCAACACACAGGGTGAGTCAAACATTAATAATAAATCATGGTTCGTGTTATTCCACCACCATCAAGGAGGCTTTGAAAAAATTTCCACCTCTTTATTTTTTTTTTGAGACGAATGCATTACCTACCAACAAATTAAAAAAAAATCGGCCCACTGTTTTATGTTTTTTTTTAAGAAGATAGGTCAAATATCAAGTGCGTCACTTTTTTTGGAACTGAGTGTATGTTGTTTTTATACGTAAAATATGGTTCGTCATCAGAATTTCAACAACCCTACCTTGCTACATCCTTCCAGATTGAGCAATAGCTTATTTCTCATCAAGCCATGCATTTTGATGGTAATATTACTCCTGGATAATATAAATCTATGTTGGTGAGATATTGAGGTATATTCTATATCCAAAACGGATAGAAAGTGAAAAACCTATTGTGGACGTCTCAATGACATTATTTTGGAACCAAAATGAGATATCTCAAATACGTCTCTCAGGTGACATATATGACATAAAAGAGACCTGAAAAAGACGCCTACAAGATACACATTTTATTGGACGGTTGACGGTTTGGTCGAGCTCCGCTTCGCGTCGGTCGTGCAACTGCTGTCGCGTGCGGAAACGTACTACTTTCCGCACTTGTTAGGTGACTAACCATAGTTATTTGAAATTTCAGTCACAAAACAGTTTATGGACTCATTATCTCTTCGATTTACCTCAGTTCATCGTGAATATTAAACCAACCGTGACAATTCCACAAACTTTTTTATGACGAGAAATATCAAATGAATAGTACTGAAATCCTACTCTAATGTCAATGATATTCTCGATGTGAATTTGACATTGTCTATTCCACTTTTTCATCTCTAAAAAATTTTTTCCACCGTGGATAGAATACTGACGCTTCAACCACAAGGCTACGCTGGCCTATCGATGAAAATTTTGAGGAGGAATTAAAGGGTCGGAAAGTACTTGATGAAATATTGAGAATGAGGTATCTCACCACCCTTAATCCCTATTCTGAATCTGGGGGTTGTGCTTCTCCCAAGTAAGTAGGAGGTTGAAGTTACAGGGATGTAGAAAGCAGACGAGTCGTAACCCCTCAAATCAGAAATCGTTAGCTTCGAGCGTTTTTCCAGCTTTTCATTCTAAACCCCAGAAATCGGGGTGTGAAATGTTCTTTGAACCACTCGTTGCATTTGAATTTTGTTTGAGGGTATTTCAGTTATGTTCAAATCGAACCAAATTTTCTTTTGGAGATTGAATGATATAGGTTTTTTGAAATGTGGACTTCTTCAGCAGACAACATTAGATGACTTGAGAATATGAATATTCTAGATTCGTCTACACTTTTTCCTAGAGTTCACTGAGTAGTATTCCATATGATTTTTATTTTGAAAAATTGGTCAATGGGTCTAAAATTTTAAAACTTGTTGCGGTATCAAATCGTGGTGGTATAATAAACACAAGGTGAATCGTTCCGAGCCTCAATGTATACCTACCTATTGTGCAAGAAAAGTATTCCTAATATGCATGACGGTTCATCATTTACAAGCGATGTTCATAGTTCGAAAGGTTTCTGGATACGTACGTAGTATGGACATCAGAAGAATTAGCTATCCATTTGTCCAATATCTTGGGCCTGAACAGACGACCAAACGTTGCCCTGAACATCCTGTTCATGCAACAGTACAAAATAAAGTTGATCGAACCATTCATCAGAGCCATCATATCCATGACTTCCCCGTACTGCTGATAGCACACCAAGAAGAAATCTTTACCTTTGATACCGATAACAAAAGCAAACAACCCTTGGGGAAACTCCGTCAAAAGAAAAAGAAGAAGAACAGCTATTAGCATCCTAGTTGTCCTGTCAGCCCGCCGTTCTGACTTGCACTTTCGCTTCGGTTCTTTGCCATTGGCTGTCAGAGGAAAGGAATCGTAACCTCTGAGCACTTGCTTTCGCCTCTTTGCGTTGAACAGCGTTCTGATGAGCCAGCAGCTGATTATGGTGAGTATGACGCAAGGCAGTAGCTTGATCAGCACGGCGAACAGCCAGAAGTTAATCATCAGGAGGGTTCTGTCTTCCTTGACGTTCTCGTTGAGGCTGGTGTGGTAGAGGATGTATAGTTTGCCATCTTCCGTGATGTCGGTGGTCGTGATTTGGAAGATGTTGTAGCTTGGGATGCACAGGAACAGCGGGAGGATGTAGCAGCTGCAGATGGCGTAGGTGCATCTTCTTTCTGTGCAGAGGATGTGGTTCTTCTCCGGATACCTGTAAAGAAAGATAAGGTGCAATTAGGAGAATTAGATTAGAGAATGAATGTATCATGAGGTTCGTTTATCCATGTTCATATGAATGAAGAAAATGTTGATTTCTCAATTGATATCAAAGATGAGGATTATCTGATGGTGAAGATAGTGGTTTTGAAAAGTCTGTTGCACCTTTTTTTTCGATTTCGAATTTCGAAATATATTTTTGTTTTCCTAATCTGATAGCGTTTACAACAATTTTTAAATTATTGATTATATAACTGACCTTATACAGGGTGTCCCAGATGAACGTTTGTATATTCCGGGAGGTAATTCTGCAGATGAAAATACGAAAAAAATTTCCTATCAACATGTGTCCAAAAATGATTCCTTTAAAAGGGCGCTAGAGCCCTATGAAGGTAGGTCCTTGAATGCAGTTTTCTTCAATTATCTTTGTAATCATTGATCCAAGAATCGCAAAATTTGGTATCTGAGGTTGATTCGATCTTGAAAATGGTCCCATGGTACGAAAAAAATGATTTAATATGAAGACCACAAGGGAAAAAGGGGGAATGTCACAATATAGTGGAAATTGAAAACAGAAGTTCATAGCAGTAATGCAGCATAGTGCCAGCTAATATGCTCGATCGGAAATACGGTCACATGGAAAAAACGCGGGATGTCCACTTCAAAAATGTGAAGAAAGGGGAATGTGAAAGCTTAGTGCTTGCTTGAATACAGATTCCATTTTGATTTTGATAAGGTGTTTTCACATTTATTGGAGCGTACCAAAGGGAATCCCTATAATGTTCGGGGAGCATTGTGGGTACCTAGGAAGGATAGGGAGAGGAGGTAGGTATTGGAATTTTTTAAACTATTGAAGATTATAAGTTCTTGGGAATACTCTGTTAGGCAAAAAATGACAAAGCTCTGCCGTTCTATGTATAAACGAGTTTTGGTAAAGATTTGTTCGACATATTTCGAGGTTGACGACAATAAGGTGTGTTGACTGTGCTTGTCGAGTACATCTGAGTGAAGGAAATGAAATAATGAGATTGCTACATGATGATTCCTACTCATATCGCATAGAATTTATAGAAAATTATCAAATTATAGAGATGCTTGCTGTACTATATGACAACTTACCGCTCAGGCAAGAATGGATAGAAATGTACCAGAGCAGATAATTGCGAGTAAACAATCCAGGTTTTTGACAATTTATTTGGACATTCCCCATTTTTCCCTTGAATCTTTGAACTTTTTCATACATATATGATTTTTATTTCTAGTTGTTCAACTTTATTGCTCATGATACTACATCAAATGAATCCAGGTTTGATTTCAGTTTCTTTCAACTTCCAAAATGTAAGGAAACTTTGAAATGCGTTTTTCTCGAAACCTACTTTTTGTGACATTCCCCGTTTTTTCCTTGTGGTCTTCATGTACAGGTAGGTGCGAAACTAGTAAGTGATGCTATAGAAATGTCCCCAGTTTTTGTTTCAGGATTCATCTCATTCCCACTGCCAGAATATGATTCTTTATAGACATTTTATACATGGAAAAGTTATTCCTGGTAGAATAATACCGTCAAACGAACCGTTTCCGAGAAAAGGGTCATTTTCCGATTTGATGTAGAAAAAACACCTAGTGAATGAGTTCGTGAAGTTTATTCAATTTCCATTGCGGATAAACTCTGATAAAACAGAACTAACTGGAAATGTGAAATTCCAATTATCAGGTTCTGATTTTTCATCATAAAAGAACACGCTCGAACTCATATTGTGAATGGGCTTATATCACAAAACATTTTTATTTCATAATTCGATAGAACTCACCCAAACTAGGTCACCACCGCAAACCGTTTCTTGCTGTGAGCTCCCTACGTTTTATAAAAAATTATTGAAATCCCCGATTTTTCGGACCTCTGAAAACGAGGCGATGATGTGACGTCAAAACCCTAATACTGAAACAACACTATTCCAGACAGAGATAAATGATACATGATTTCTGACGAAGCACCAAGATTGGTGAATCGGCAAGTTGATTTTTGGGACAAAGATAATAAGAACAAGAAGAAGATCAATTCTAACCTATATTAACTTTTTGCAGCTCCTTGTAAAACGGGTCAACAAAGCAATGTTGCTGCGTTTATGGAATATATTGGATCATTGTGAAATCGTAATGGTGCAAATGGTTTTGGGATTGAGACATTCCGCTGTCTAGAGATTGTTTATATTCCAATGATTCAATCAACAACAACAACTTGAATATATTTTTCTGCAGTAGTGGTAGTGGATATGAAAAGATATTTCAAGATCGATTTCGATCTCTCGGATATTTTGTTTGGATGATATGGCAACATTGATAAGTGTCAGTTTTAACTATGGCGAGATGAGGTTTCTACGTCATAAGAGGGTCCGTTTTCAGAAGGTACTATCATTTATGTCCACAAATAAAACATTCCAGTTAATTTTTCGATCGAATTATGTCGTCAATCATTATTTATGTACAGGGTATCCCAATTTGGGCACTTTTGCGGGGTATCTTCCTTATCAGTAAAGATAGAGCATTGCGGTTTTCGCGAAAGCTACTTTTTTATGAAATTAATAATGGCGCAAGCAGAATTGTGATAGCTCTTCCGGTTGTCGAGATACAGGGTGGAATTGAAAAATATCACTTTTCAGGCACCCTCCGTGTCTCAGTTATCTTTGAACTTATCGAAGAAGTTAATACTTGTTTTTATAGAGTTTTTCTCGTAGAATCCAGTGGCGTAGTTATTTTTTTGCTAGCACCTTTTGTTTTTTAGTTATGGAGCAAACATATGTTTTTTTAAATGGAACACCCTGTATATTATTTCATATATACATTGAGCATGAAGTGGGCTTTCCAAAAATATATAATTGTATACAATTATTTTCCATTCAAAAAAACATATGTTTGCTCCATAACTAAAAAACAAAAGGTGCTAGCAAAAAAATAACTACGCCACTGGATTCTACGAGAAAAACTCTATAAAAACAATTTTCAACTTCTTCGATAAGTTCAAAGATAACTGAGACTGAAAAGTGATATTTTTCAATTCCACCCTGTATCTCGACAAACGGAAGAGCTATCACAATTCTGCTTGCGCCATTATTAATTTCATAAAAAAGTAGCACAATGTCGCGAAAACCGCAATGCTCTATCTTTACTGATAAGGGAGATACCCCGCGAAAGTGCCCAAATTGGGATACCCTGTACAAAGGATCATTATAAACATGGTTTGAGTCAAAAGTTCTACTAAGGTGTACACGCCTATTATACCAATATAAAAAAATGACACTTTTCTCGAAAACGATTCGTTTCATGGCATTATAACAGATATACCTGTTTCATGTATACAAGTATTTGAAAAATTATAAATCTGGCAGTAGAAATGGGATAAATCTTGAAACAAAAGAACTTGTCAACTACGAAATAGCCACAATGCTCAAAGTGAAATGAAATGTTGATGAATCTCAGGAGCTTAAAGTCATTTCCACACAATATCCATGAAATGAACAACAATGGTGGATTCCTGGAGAAAAACAACTACTTTCCTGGCTAATGCCACGCAGAACATTGATTAACATTTTCCCGAAAGCTATGCATCGACTTGAATAAAGAAATAGTATTACGAGTGATTCTTTCCTGAACTCCTATTGATTTCGATTTAGCCAGGCCACGCTTAACACCTACAGACCGGTTTCGAGCTCTTTAACTCTCATCAGTGCAGGGCAGTCGCCAGTCAGCAGTCCTAAGACCGCCGACTAAGCGTAGCCTAGCCAAACAAAAATCATGTCGGCATTATATTCCCTCAGAACATATTTTCTCATTTTTACCAATGCATATATTTCCAAGAACTCATAACCATCGAGAGATAAAAGAACATTCAAATACCGATCTCCTCTGCCTATCCTCCCTATAGGTACGCACGATGTTCTTCGTACATCATTGGAATTTCCTTTCGTGCGCTCCAAGAGTTGGGATAAAAAGAATTACCTCCCGGAGTATACGAACGTTTTTCTGGGACACCTTGTAAAATGATTATCGTCTATCCTGAACTCGTATATGCGATTTTTATCAATTTATTTCTCAAATGTATTAGAAAACATATCTGAAATCTACCCGTGCTATATATATTCTCTACAATTCTTCTTCCAGATAATGATGTATAGGTACTCCTGATGGAGTTGCAATTTCAATTTTCATTTGTTAGTGATAAAGAATGTTTGAATTCTGCCGTTATGTTATTTCTTAGACCCCGTCAGAAATATAGTGAGTACGTCCCTGAATCAGAGAGTTTGATTCTTTTGCGATGTTTTTTCTTTGACCCCGTCAGAAATATAGTGAGTACGTCCATGATTCAGAGATTTTGATTCTGTTGCGATAAATGCTATATTCATTTGAAATTCCCCAAATTCTCGCTAAGACAACCTGAAAAATTGATAAGGTCCTGAAATCCCTACTTTCTTACTGATATTATAAATGTTAATGTGAGTTTGTTTGTCATGCTTTCACGCTAAAACCACTCAACCGAATATCATGAAACTTTGTATAGACATTCTCAGACGTATAAGAAAGGGCATATGATACTAAAGAAAAAATATTTTGGCAGACATGATGGTTGGACACAAAATATCCAACAATCAGACATGAAACTTCGAACGTCGATACCTTAGATATTCATCATTAGAATTCGTCTTTTGGGATCCATAAGCCTCAGGTTATTTAGATGATTGAACGGAAATGACAAATATCTAACCGAACATCAGGTGAACACTACAAAGGCGCAAATTCATTACTGCATGGGAGATACCCTTAAGATTTTTTGCTATTTAGTGACTAGACCACGAAAGACATTGACGCTCCAGTCTTCTGCGCAACCAAAATGCACGAATTCGATAAGATCTGAATTGGCAATAAATAATCCATGCGAGAGCAATACAGAATTGAAAACTACCAGAAATGGTCCACTACGAAAGCGCTGAAGGGCCACCTATA